GTGTGAGCTGAGAGTGTGTGAGCTGAAAAAAGGCACATTCTGTATAAACTAAAGCGGGCAGGCGGTATTTTGCTGCATTCCCCGATTTTGTTTTTATACTGCCAATGCCGAACAAAGACTGATTGGTCTTTCCTGCAAATTTGCACAACTGCTGTTTAAAAAGGGCTTCTGTCGGGTGGAGAGTCAAACTGCCTCCTGTGGAGAACATGTGGCATTAGGCCCCTCTATAGGTGACTGAACTATGCCTGCTTAAAATGAACAATAACCAGTTAAGGAGACAGTACGACTGGCAGCCTCTAGAGGGCACTGAAAGGATACACTCTGTGGTGACACTTTTGTACAGTGATGCCAGAGTGACGCCATCGCGGTGTGCGTGTTTCCCCAAGTGTCTATCTTTTAGGGCATGATGGCTGCGCCTTGAGATCAACAGTTCAGCTTTGGGACATAGCAGTGCACGTCGTATGTCATGTGACAAGGACCAACCAATTACAGCCAACAAATATCTTTCCCTTCTTCAGTAAATATAAGTGACCACAGTACAAGGGAACCAGACAGCCCTGACTACCAGCCAGGTCAGAAAACATTCTGTTGCTGCTGTTACACAGGTTAGGCCTGATGCTGCTGCTGTGACACCTGGAGCTGGGGTGTGTCTGCTGACCACTACAGCCGCCGTCTGAAGGTCCGCCTCCTGAGATGCTGTGCTCTCTTTTCTCAGGGACGTAGTCCGAAGCAGCGGGGAGGGAAGTGAGGGGAGGGAGGTGAAGGGAGGGAAGTGAAGGGAGTGAGGTGAAGAGAGGGAGGTGAAGGGAGTGAGGTGAAGGGAGGGAAGTGAAGGGAGGGAAGTGAGGGGAGGGAGATGAAGAGAGGGAGGTGAAGGGAGGGAGGTGAAGGGAGGGAAGTGAAGGGAGGGAAGTGAGGGGAGTGAAGTGAGGGGAGGGAGGTGAAGGGAGGGAAGTGAAGGGAGTGCAGCAGTGGGAACCTGGCGGAGGGAGCGTTTGGCGACTAGCAGCTAATTCTTGTCTCATCTGTGGTGTGAGAGAATAAAATAAGATGATATAAGTTAATGTATGGAAACACTAAGTTAAAAACGTGTGTTTATGCCCGTGGTCGTCTGGTGGGAGGAGCTTAGAAGAGAGAAGATAGAGCTGCAGGAGGAGGGATTTATTATCTACATGTTTTAATTTTCCAAGTAAAAGCCCCCGGATGAAAAAACTCTAATTAAAATCATGTAAAAACAAGTAAAAGAAATGTGATCACAAAAGCAAGACAATCTGAGCGTTCACTAACGCTCTGCACTGTTTACAATATGGATTTATTTCATTATTTTGTTGTGAATATTTTATTCCTTCAGCTGTCTGTTCATATTTCTGTTGTAACAAACAAACACTCATCAGTTCAATCAGTTCATATTACATCATCATATGAAAACAATGTGTTCAGTCAGAGTCCGAATAAATTTATGAAATGGCCCAAAAATGAGCAGACATGAAAAAGTTTTCAGAAGTAACTTTCGTAAGAAATGACCAAAAAAGTAAAAGTGAAAAGCCAAATTCCCCCCAAAATTACCCTTATTTAATTCTAAAAATTAAATAAGGTAATATCTATATCTGTTTTCTGTAACACAATTTTAAATATTTATGTAGAACTTCACATTTCCACAGTTTTTTGATAAAAAACAAACAAACATTTTTCCAGGAGTTGATCGTTTCAGGTTTTTAAACACAGCACAAGAAAACCAGCTGCTTTTGTGAAGGCTGATCACATGATGTCATCAGTGTCACAAACAGATCAATAATTTATTTCAGGTCCATTTTGGCAAACTGTGAATTCAGCAGAAAATTAAAAAACTTAGACTGTTTTCTATGAAAACAGTCGCTGGAAGCTGGAGGTTGTGTGTGTGTGTGTGTGTTTTAATTGTGCTGATGCAAGTGTTTTGTAAATGATTGAAGTCATGTTTCATGTTGAGCGATGTTGTGATGTCATGGCCCCGGGTTCATTCATCACCGTGGTGATAAGAGGCCGGCGTCATTATTCTCACTGCAGGACAGACGGACACAATGCAGGCTCAACATCCAGGGCCACGATACACATCAATCAGCCTCACTGTGCGGGGAATACCCACCAAACTTTATGTCACTGCTCAGATGCACTCAAGTAGTCAAAGGTCAGCGCAGCAACAAGGCCCATTTTTTGAAGAGAAGAACAAGATAAGAGTGCTAAATGGAAGGGAGTCGTCTCTCTGCTCTGATAATGGTTGTTTGTGCAATAACAGCGTCAGCCAGGCTCATCGCACAAAATGTTTTCTGTCCGCAGATTGATCGCAGCAGAGATGGGGAGAATCCACTCCATCCAGCCAAAGTGTGGTCGAACTGTTGAACCTTTTCTCTGGACCAAAATGTCTCACTTTCTCACACTGGTGAAGAACAGCAGCAGCGGCGGCGGCCTGGCTGAGCAGCGCTGCACAAACAGGTATAACTCTTAAGAAAATCTATGCATGTGAGATATCACACATCAGCAATCAGCATGTTTCCTTCCTGCACACACGTGAGCAAGTGAAGACTAACCTTCTTGCTCAAGAGCACCTCGGCAGTAGCTTCATTCAACCAAACTGCTGCCCAGTTTTTTTTACGCCCCCACACTGGCATAGCAGTGACCAGAGGAATTATGTTTTCAGGTCCATCCTCCCCGTCCTCGTAAACATGATATCTCAAGAACACCTCAGGGGAATTTCTTTAATTTGGCACAAATGTCCGCTTGGACTCAACGATGAGCTGATTAGATTTTGGATTTTTTAGGTCAAAAGTCAAGGTCACTGTGATCTCATCTGCCTCATTTTTGTGAATGCAATATCTCATGAACACCAATACAGAATGTTTTCAAATTTGGCACAAACGTTCACTCGGACTCAGTGATGAACAGGTGGATTTTGGTGGTTAAAGGCAGTGTTGGGAACGTTACTTTAAAAAAGTAATTAGTTATAGTTACTCGTTACTTTCCCCAAAAAGTAACTGAGTTAGTAACTGAGTTACTGCACTATAGAAGTAACTAATTACCTGGAAAAGTAACTATAGCATTACATTTTTATAAAATGCTCACATATGTCAGATTGTATGTAATGGAACTCAACACTGAATATGTTACATGAATGAAACTGACACTTAATAGAAAAAATCATTATTATAACACATTGTACACTTCTCTACACTACACTGCATTGTTGTGTGTGTGTGTGTGTGTGTGTGTGTGTAAGAACCTTGATTAATCACACAATTTAAATGTGAAAAGTCTGATTGACTGACCGTCACCTGTGTGTATGTGACAGCACACGTGTTACCGGTTATAACTGAGTCAGGGACCTGCTGACAGCACACGTGTTACCGGTTATAACTGAGTCAGGGACCTGCTGACAGCACACGTGTTACCGGTTATAACTGAGTCAGGGACCTGCTGACAGCACACGTGTTACCGGTTATAACTGAGTCAGGGACCTGCTGACAGCACACGTGTTACCGGTTATAACTGAGTCAGGGACCTGCTGACAGCACACGTGTTACCGGTTATAACTGAGTCAGGGACCTGCTGACAGCACACGTGTTACCGGTTATAACTGAGTCAGGGACCTGCTGACAGCACACGTGTTACCGGTTATAACTGAGTCAGGGACCTGCTGACAGCACACGTGTTACCGGTTATAACTGAGTCAGGGACCTGCTGACAGCACACGTGTTACCGGTTATAACTGAGTCAGGGACCTGCTGACAGCACACGTGTTACCGGTTATAACTGAGTCAGGGACCTGCTGACAGCACACGTGTTACCGGTTATAACTGAGTCAGGGACCTGCTGACAGCACACGTGTTACCGGTTATAACTGAGTCAGGGACCTGCTGACAGCACACGTGTTACCGGTTATAACTGAGTCAGCGACCAGCTGACAGCACACGTGTTACCGGCTATAACTGAGTCAGTGACCTGCTGACAGCACACGTGTTACCGGTTATAACTGAGTCAGGGACCTGCTGACAGCACACGTGTTACCGGTTATAACTGAGTCAGGGACCTGCTGACAGCACACGTGTTACCGGTTATAACTGAGTCAGGGACCTGCTGACAGCACACGTGTTACCGGTTATAACTGAGTCAGGGACCTGCTGACAGCACACGTGTTACCGGTTATAACTGAGTCAGGGACCTGCTGACAGCACACGTGTTACCGGTTATAACTGAGTCAGGGACCTGCTGACAGCACACGTGTTACCGGTTATAACTGAGTCAGGGACCTGCTGACAGCACACGTGTTACCGGTTATAACTGAGTCAGTGACCTGCTGACAGCACACGTGTTACCGGTTATAACTGAGTCAGGGACCTGCTGACAGCACACGTGTTACCGGTTATAACTGAGTCAGGGACCTGCTGACAGCACACGTGTTACCGGTTATAACTGAGTCAGTGACCTGCTGACAGCACACGTGTTACCGGTTATAACTGAGTCAGTGACCTGCTGACAGCACACGTGTTACCGGTTATAACTGAGTCAGTGACCTGCTGACAGCACACGTGTTACCGGTTATAACTGAGTCAGTGACCTGCTGACAGCACACGTGTTACCGGTTATAACTGAGTCAGTGACCTGCTGACAGCACACGTGTTACCGGTTATAACTGAGTCAGTGACCTGCTGACAGCACACGTGTTACCGGTTATAACTGAGTCAGTGACCTGCTGACAGCACACGTGTTACCGGTTATAACTGAGTCAGTGACCTGCTGACAGCACACGTGTTACCGGTTATAACTGAGTCAGTGACCTGCTGACAGCACACGTGTTACCGGTTATAACTGAGTCAGTGACCTGCTGACAGCACACGTGTTACCGGTTATAACTGAGTCAGTGACCTGCTGACAGCACACGTGTTACCGGTTATAACTGAGTCAGTGACCTACTGACAGCACACGTGTTACGGGTTATAACTGAGTCAGTGACCAGCTGACAGCACACGTGTTACGGGTTATAACTGAGTCAGTGACCTGCTGACAGCACACGTGTTACCGGTTATAACTGAGTCAGTGACCAGCTGACAGCACACGTGTTACCGGCTATAACTGAGTCAGTGACCTACTGACAGCACACGTGTTACGGGTTATAACTGAGTCAGTGACCTGCTGACAGCACACGTGTTACGGGTTATAACTGAGTCAGTGACCAGCTGACAGCACACGTGTTATGGGTTAGAACTGAGTCAGTGACCTACTGACAGCACACGTGTTACCAGTTAGAACTGAGTCAGTGTTGGGAGGAAACTTCAGAGTTAAAAACATCAGGAGCTAATTTCCTTTTTAGATTCTCTGACAGAAACCAGCTACGTCTTTATTTCTGAGGCAGCACCACTGATGTCTTATCATCTGCTCCTCACTGCTACTCTCTGCTGCTCACTGCTCCTCACTGCTCTTTTTTGCTCCTCACTGCTCCTCACTGCTCCTCTCTGCTCCTCACTGCTCCTCACTGCTCTTCTTTGCTCCTCACTGCTCCTCACTGCTCCTCTCTGCTGCTCACTGCTCCTCACTGCTCTTCTTTGCTCCTCACTGCTCCTCACTGCTCCTCTCTGCTCCTCACTGCTCTTCTTTGCTCCTCACTGCTCCTCTCTGCTCTTCTTTGCTCCTCACTGCTCCTCACTGCTCCTCACTGCTCCTCTCTGCTCCTCACTGCTCTTCTTTGCTCCTCACTGCTCCTCTCTGCTGCTCACTGCTCCTCTCTGCTCCTCTCTGATCGTAACATTGTCTCTTAAGTAACTGAATGTTCTCACTCTGACCTCTGTGACCATGGGGGCCATCACTGTGAGCTGTCATTGGTCAGAGGGACGAGGCGGGGGAGTGGCCTCTGTGGCGCTGACATTGCGTTATCTCTGGCAGGGGTCACGGGGTCATGGGGTGAGAGGGGTTCCTCCAGACGCTGGGCCATGAGCTTCCTGCATTGCTGTGCCTTATCGGCCAAACGTTCAGGCCTGTTCCTGAACACAGCCGAGGGGTCGGGAGTCCACGCTGACCCAGGTCTCTGAGCCGCTGCACGATAACTGGATCCTGAGTTTGAGGACACAGTTTGACTCATGCATTAAAGACAGGGACTGTGGAGGAGACACTGATGATGAAGAGTTTGAGCTTCCTCGATTCAGAAAGACAAAAGTCACAACAAGAAAAAGTAAAAACCCGTTTACCAACAAGATCAGCACGTGTATGCACGTTTTTTAAACACGGGTAAACATGTTATAGACTCCTTTCACATTAGGTCAGAGCTGAGTGCACGACTCTGCAGCACACGTGTGTGTGTGTGTGTGTGTATGTGTTTGTGTTTGAGTGTGTGTTGGACATCACAGACAGGCAGTGTGCAGTGTGTTGTTGTGTGTGCAGTGTGTTGTTGTGTGTGTGGTGTGTTGTGTGTGCAGTGTGTTGTCGTGTGTGAAGTGTATTTTTGTGTGTGCAGTGTATTTTTGTGTGTGCGTTGTGTTGTGTGTGCAGTGTGTTGTTGTGTGTGCGGTGTGTTGTGTGTGCGGTGTGTTGTGTGTGCGGTGTGTTGTTGTGTGTGCAGTGTGTTGTGTGTGCGGTGTGTTGTTGTGTGTGCAGTGTGTTGTCGTGTGTGTGGTGTGTTGTGTGTGCAGTGTGTTGTCGTGTGTGCGGTGTGTTGTGTGTGCAGCGTGTTGTGTGTGCAGTGTGTTGTGTGTACAGTGTGTTGTCGTGTGTGCGGTGTGTTGTGTGTGCGGTGTGTTGTTGTGTATGCAGTGTCTTGTCGTGTGTGCAGTGTGTTGTCATGTGTGCAGTGTATTTTTGTGTGTGCGTTGTGTTGTGTGTGCAGTGTGTTGTTGTGTGTGCGGTGTGTTGTTGTGTGTGCAGTGTGTTGTCGTATGTGCAGTGTATTTTTGTGTGTGCGTTGTGTTGTGTGTGCAGTGTGTTGTTGTGTATGCGGTGTGTTGTGTGTGCAGTGTATTGTGTGTGCGGTGTGTTGTTGTGTGTGCAGTGTGTTGTGTGTGCAGTGTGTTGTTGTGTGTGCGGTGTGTTGTCGTGTGTGCAATGTGTTGTCGTGTGTGCAGTGTATTTTTGTGTGTGCAGTGTATTGTGTGTGCAGTGTGTTGTGTGTGCAGTGTGTTGATGTGTGTGCAGTGTGTTGTTGTGTGTGCAGTGTGTTGTGTGTGCAGTGTGTTGTTGTGTGTGCAGTGTGTTGTGTGTGCGGTGTGTTGGTGTGTGAGCAGTGTGTTGTTGTGTATGCAGTGTGTTGTTGTGTGTGCAGTGTGTTGTTATGTGTGCGGTGTGTTGTCGTGTGTGCAGTGTGTTGTGTGTGCGGTGTGTTGTCGTGTGTGTGTGATACCTGTGGGGTTGATTGTTTGGATGAATCAGGATGTGACACAGTGTTTCTGCAGCCACAGGACACAGACTGCACTACAGGTAGAGGCCCAATAGATGGTGCTATACTGTGAGACATTCATGTGACTGACACAGTTGGTCCATCACTGCTCAGAGACGAGCCCAAACTGATCAGGAACATATCAATAATCAGGATCTTTGATCACAAAGTGAAGCAGGAGAGATGACGTTTAATTTATGGTTGAAACACACGTCTTTTTGTGTGTGTGTGTGTGTGTGTGTGATGTCACTTGCACATTTAAGAGATGAGTGAACATACACACACACACACACACACACACACACACACACACAGAGCAGCGGAGACAAAAAGTGATTTTAAACAGGCATCAGAGAAACTTTTGTACTTGAATGTAGAGAGCGGGTTTGAATGTGATGTTGAGAGGAAATGGTAAAAGAAAAGCAGAGAGCAGGAAGAGGCTGCACCTGCAGAGGAGGTCTTCAGCTCTCAAACCCCCCGCTGTGCAAACAGAGAGGAGAAGAAGAAGAAGGAGAAGGAGAAGAAGAAGAAGAAGAAGAGAGGGAGGGAAGAGGCAGCAGCAGCTGCGAGGCTCGGAGAGAGACGGAGAGAGTGCAGCAGCACAAGTCAGAGAGAAAAGAGAGAAAAGCAAAAGAAAGCACGAGTGCAACCTCTTCTTCTCCCAAAGGCCCCCCGCTACGTCTCCGTTTGCTCCCGCGAATTGCATCAAACTGCAGAAAGGGGAAAAAAAGCAGAGTTCTCGGCTGGTGTTTGAAATCATATGTAAATAAGGCAGATTGATAATGAAGCGCCAGAGGAGGAAATTCCACTAATTACCTTCCAGAGACTTGACAAGGAGCAGGAGGCGAACGCACTTGACGTAGTGTTTCTCATGAAAAGGACAGAAAAGAGAGAGGAAAAGATCTGATGGCAAGACGACAGGTTTCCATTTAAAGTCTTTCATTTCCACTAATTGTGGGTTTTCTATGGTAAAGTCAGTTTGTTAAGTTAAGGCACTGGATGGGCTGAAAAGGAATCAGGGTGATTCACCATTCAGCCGTGTGTTTGAATTCATATTAGAGAGGCGACAGATAAATGATGCATGTCAGAGGGGGTCGGTCTGAGCTGCCTGAAAGGTTTCAGAGCGAGGAGATGGTGCTGTATATTCTGGGCCTACAGCTTCTAAAAATGCACTTTGGAATTAAGATTAACAGCGTGGCAGCTATTTCAGCTGACAGTCAGTCAAAGAAGAAGCAAAGTGGAGCAGGAAGCAGCTATTTTAACAGAATCTATATCTCTCTTTCTGCAGGTACGCACACTGAGCCGCCAGCTTTGATTCAATCACTGTTTCTAGATGTGTAGGAGGAAGCTGTACGTACCACAGAGCGCCTGTGTCACCGCAATAAACAAGGCTGTGCTCCTCTGCTTTTATTGTGCCTCCTTCCAACAGGCCTCACTAAATTATGTCTACAAGTGTGTGTATAATACAGAGCGTCTGTTTGTTCCCCCTCCAATAAATAGGTAGGGTTTAAATTACACTGTTTAAATTACCCTCTTATCGCCGCCTGACGACTCAAAAGGAAACATGAAAATTAATTAGGAGACGGATGCTTGCGCAGCATTTCTTCCAGGTGCATTTTGCACTGACTGACGTTAGTGCTTCCTTTGATGAACCGAGGAATCAGCAGAGTGAAAACAAGGCATGTAACCATGTAACCTCTCCACCAGGCGCCCAGCGCCTTCGCCTCACAGACACGGGGACAAACTTTCTGTCCACGACTAAACTCTTCTCCTCCCTCAACTGCTACACACACACACACACACACACACACACACACACACACACTGTCTTTATCTAATATTATCTTTCAGAAATGTTGGAAACATCCCATCAGCCAAGAGGATTTCTGAAGGCCAAAATTTGAAGACTCTTTTTTTACAAACATATTTTTTTATGATTAAATCCAAGTTTTTTTTTTAACTTTAAATATTTCAAGTCTTTTTTCTTCCGCTGTAATTTTCCACCCTCTGAAACAGATTTACAGTCGACAACAATTCAGATTCTTTTAGAGTGAACAATACTCACAGGCAGGTGACTCACTGTGTGTGTGTGTGTGTGTGTGTGTGTGTGTGAGGGGAAGTTCTGGTTTAATTGAGTCTTTATAAAAACATGTGAAGAAGGAGAAAAAACAGAATCGTGTCACATTGAGACATGCTGTGTCGTCTCTTCTCTCTGTGACTATCACACACGTCTTTTGTCTTTGTTTAATGTAGCCTGTAATTAATCAGGACAGACCCTTCCGATGTCTCGTGTCTCTGAAGACGGTCCACACCCACTGCTGGAATTTAACACGACTCTTTACTGGACTCAAACTGATTTCTGTTTTCACTTACTTTTACTACATTTCAGATGAAATATTTTATGCCGCTACATGTTGTCTGTCAGCAACAGTTAACACATGATCATTTTATATTTTTACGATATATAGTTACAGCTTAACTATTAACTTTAAACACATTCTGCTGATCGTACTTTTGTACTTTTACTTAAGCAGGATTTTGATGTAATATTTTAACTTGAAATGGAGTATTTTTACTCTGCTGTACTACTTTCATTTAGGTAAAAGATCTGAAAACTTCTTCCTGTCCATTCCAGTAAAGCACGAAAACCAGCACTTGGGAAATGGATTATTGTGTTAAGCTGAAAACACACCAGCACCACAGGCGGCGAGGCACGTCATGTGATGTGTGTCATGTGATGTGTGTCATGTGATGTTACGAGCACACACCGGAGGCGTCACACTGCAGCTCGTCAATAGACGACACCACAAAGTTATTACTACATTTACTGAGGTATCTGTACTTCCTCCACCTCTGTGTGGACAGCCACTAATTTAAGTTGATTTCTCACCTGAAGAGCTGAACAGGAAGTGTCTTTTTGGACATTGGCTTTATGATGACAGAACTGTGGGTCGTTTAGCTCGAGATATTTCTAACCTCAAGGACAAGTCTCTCCTCACCCAGTCTTCATCACACATGACACACAGCAACAGCTGCAGAGTTCTGTTTGTACATCCATGGTGAGGAGAGAAGTCGAGCTGCCACAGGAGTAGAGAAGAAGAGCTGCTATGGGAGCTGGTCTGTACAAGCAGAGAGCGAGTGGAGGAAATGTATTAAGTTCAGGGGGCGGCGAGGATGGAAACAGGACAGTGACGTGAAGCGCCACAGGCCACGTGTCCAGGAGCGCCGATGTCTGCAGTTACAGACCTGCTCCCCCTGTGATTAATCAGAAGGTTTCACAGATCATAAATATTTTTTAATGAAATGTGGAAACCTCAAACTGCTTTTTTATTTCACTCCTTTAATGGAGTTTTGTAAAGGTCACCAGTTCAGCTTTTCCTCAAGCAGCTGTTGGTCTGATATCTGTCTGCTGATAGGTTTAGGAAAAGGATCACACCTGGGCGTCGTCGGGTCACGTACCAAACACGAGAGGACAGAAACAAGTCCCCTGGTTGAGCTTCGGACTGAAGCCAAACTGTGTGACTATAACTTCCAGCTCCATCACGTGGTGTCATGGGGCGCAAACCACACACTGGTGGAGGTGGTGATCATGGACGTTGAACTGGAGCGTCCAAGTGTCCATTTCCGCCCCTCTGTCATCAAGCCGTCCTCACAGTCCATCTCTCCTCTGTTTCAGTGACAGCGGGGGTTTCACCTCCTCCAGTCCGCTTTTCAGCTTTGAGACTTTGTCGGCTGAGATGGAGTCACTGAAGAGACACCTCTCACAGATCGACTCGCCGACCGTCCTCTGCCACAACGACCTCCTCACAAAGAACATCATCTACAACCACACAGAAGGTGAGACACAGCCGCACACATCTCTGACACATCAGAGACACACACTGCAGACAGCACCAGGACACACACTGCAGACGACACCAGGACACACACTGCAGACGACACCAGGACACACACTGCAGACGACACCAGGACACACACTGCAGACGACACCAGGACACACACTGCAGACAGCGGTAGTACAGGTAGTACAGCGTGTTGCTGATGGACACGTAGCAGATATTTGTCAGTCAAAAGCAACAGTCTGGAGTTGTGTGATCAATGTGTCAGTCTGAAGCTGAAGCTGATGTTTTGTAATATGGAGTCTTCAGACCTTTTCTTATATAACGGACAGAAGCAAAGCTCTGCTCCTCTCCACTCATCGAACATCTCACCTCATCTGTCGTTTCCTTTCATTGTGATTTTATTTCTCTCTCACATATTACGAGTGTGTCCAGGGTGAGACTCAAAGAGACGCCTTGTCCCTTTGACTCTCACAAGGCTCTGTACTTTGCATAAAAGGAGGGAGAGTTCTATATCCCTACCTGAGATGTGTTAGACATGTTGTCATGGTAACCGCTGCCTCTCTCCCTCTCCTCCATCAGGAACGGTGAAATTCATTGACTACGAGTACGCCGATTACAACTACCAGGCCTTCGATATTGGCAATCACTTCAATGAATTTGCAGGTGGGTCTGAGCTCAGATGAAAAACAGGTTCAATCTGTTTCCAGGTCTGTCTGTAGATATCAGATGAAGATGTGGGATAATATAATATGGGATATTATAATGTGGGATATGGAGCTGTTTATGTACAGTGTGAGTGGTCGGCCCTGTCTAACCATGAACGTGTCCGTCTGATGCTGCCAGGACCAATCGCTATATTTACTGTGCATTCTCTGAAGGCTTTGATGAAGCAGCTGTGTCACAGTGAAGCTCGACAGGCTTCATTTTAACATCTGTTGAACAATCAGCAATTTATCACTTCCACAGGCGTGTCGTGGTGTCGTGGTGTCGTGGTGTCGTGGTGTCATGGTGTCATGGTGCCGTGGTGCCGTGGTGTTGGCTCTCAGCTCTCAGCTGAGGTCCGACCCCCAAACTACCACCGAGCCAAACTGAGTGTGGAACGAGCCCAACGTCACAAACGTGCACACAGTTGTTTATATGCCGGAGCTTTTTATAGTGACGACACGTAAATCCCTTTTTCATTTCCTGTTAATAAAGAGACGTTCACTCACCGACAACTGCAAAACCACTTTTCCTTCATTTGCACCAAACACATCTCACCAACATTTTCAAATATCAGCCAGTTTCCACACGTCTGACTCTGCTGCTGTTTGTAGGTTAGCACACCGTCTGCAGCAGGAAACATATCAGCACATATACTGTACAAATATTCAAGTCCTGCTTTAAACATCAGACCATAGAAATATATTCTGCAAAATCTACCTACAAGTATAAAAACGAAAGGTACCTGATGCATAATGATGCTCCCTGGGAGTATTATAACATGTATATATTATTCTTATTTCAATTTCTGTTTAGAGTAAAGATGGAGGAAGTTACAGCTCATCATAATCGTCTTTTTTGAAACTAAAGTAATAAAGTGATCAAATAAAAAGCAAACATTTGTTTTATGATTATTCACATATGCAGAGATGGTCTTGGTGGTATAATAAATATAATATAATAATATAAGGAGAAAACTGTAGTAAGAAAAAATATCAGGCAGGACGAAATAAACAAAACAATCCATTCAAATAGATAAATAAAAACAAATACTTAAACAGGCATGTGAAAATAAACAAAATAAAGGCTAAATGGTTAAAAACAAAAAACAAAGCAGTAATAATAGAAGCCACTTTTTAAACCATTTCTTGAACTCGACATTTATTAGATTAAACCAGGCAATGATTTTCAAAAACCTTCTGAGCTATATTCAGTCCTCAGATATTTAATGTTCAAACTGATTCACTTTATTGTTTTTTGTAAATCTACACTCAGGTTTTAATAAAGTTGTGACAGGAGCCTGATGACCACTCAGTGACATCATCACCTCTCAGTGACATCATTACCACTCAGTGACATCATCACCCTCTCTTCAACAACACTCAGCGTCAGTGGGAACTGACGACAATTCAATTTTATTTATAAAGCCCAATATCACATATCACAATTTGCCTCACAGGGCTTTACAGCATACGACATCCCTCTGTCCTTAAGACCCTCACAGCTGATCAGGAAAAACTCCCCAAAAAACCCTTTAACGGGGAAAGACAACACTGTTGAAATTTTCAAAGTGACATTTATTTCTTAAAATTCACAAGTTAGCTCCCAAAACTTTTGAACAGAGGCTTTTCTAATACAAGTGTTAAATGTTGTGATTCCTTTATCAGAGGAGTTTTATTGAATTAATACTGTAGTCTGGTCTGAATGTCGTGTGAAAGCTGCACTGGAAATGTGTTCAATGAAAAGAAAAGTGGACATGTTGAATATTAATTTCCTCCACTGTGTGTCAGAGAGGATTTACAAATCACTGAAATCACTGCTCTCTGATTTTATCTGAGGTTTTCACAGCATTCAGTGTTCAGATGAATCGTAGCTTTAAAGTGCTCAGGTTTGACGTGGAGCTCATTGACAGTATTTTACACACTGCTGAATGAATGAGTGAATGAATACATTTTTTTTATCACTGTGTAATCACACAGAAATCTGCCCGGCCCACACAGCCCTACAAGATACAATAAACATGAAGGTTAACCAGGACCAGAGTCCAGCTGACACATTTTCAGACAGTAGTTTGTTTTTTAATAATAAATCATATTTATAAGATCATATTCATGTTTCCTGTCTAAACTCTTCATCTGAAAATATCTAGGTTAATGTAGTAAAAAGTAAAACGTACACAATTTTATTCTGAAATGTAGAATAAGTTAACAAAAAACAGAAAAATAAATTTGTGCTTGAGTACAGCTGTAAATGATCTTTGTTTCATCGCACAGCTGACACGATGAGTTCTTAAGTTTTGTCATTTGAAAAATTATTTTTCAATATTTTCTGACACGTTCAGACTGAACAGTTAATCACAGAGACTAAAGTCAAATAAAAGTTGAGTCCTTTTCTCCTCCTCTCAGAGACGACACAGTTTATGACTGTTTCATGCATCATATCGACCTCACTCAGATTTTAAAGGATAAATAACGCCATTTTTAAAATAACACGTTCTTCCTGTGGCCTGAGACGATCCGAAGAACAATCGAAATCTAAAATCTACAGTTATGAAAAACAAACTGAAACATGGCCTCAGATATTGAACATGATGTCACACACACACACATGTATATATATATATATATATATATATATATACATATATATTTACATGTATCTTCTCTGCACTGTGTTTCTTGTTTGGATTGGATCATTTTTACCCTGACAGCTCAGTCTATATTTCTTTTCTTGTATTTTTCTGTGTAATGTTAGTTGTTGTCTGTGTACCTCCTGACGTGGTGTCTGCACCAGCCTGTGGCTCCTCCACCTCTCCTGACACATTTTTGTATCTTTTCTTTTTTAATATTTGGATTTTCTGTAGTTTTATGTGTATAAATTTTAAGAATAATGAAATTAAAATCTGTGATGTCATCAGGTATAAAGATATGGAGCTGCTCCACAGACACTGAAGGTGAAAGTCATTGTAGATTTCTGATGATGGGAACATGTCAGTGTCAGGGCGGAGAACACACGACAGGATAAAGATCATTTGGGTGTAAAAAGAGAAAACATTGGTTGTCTGTGGAGCAGCTCCAGGTGACATCACAGGTGTGAGACGTCCTTCTGTGGTTTGTCAGAGATCAGCTGATGTTCACTGATACTGACTGAACTCCACCTAAATATATAAAACAGGTGGAGTTCTCCTTTAAAGTCAGTGTTGGTCCAGCTCCCACGCTCCTCTGTAGTTACTCCATCCAGAGATGAGGACACGGAGCTGGAACGGTTTCTGTGGAGCTGACGAGTGTTGACTGGCGAGCAGAGATGATGTCACTCTGCGGCAGATCTTCAGACTATCAGTTAGTTTCGGCCTGGTGTCGGCCTGCTCGGCTGACAGTAGCTCCACTGACGTGTGCACATGTGTGTGTGTTTTGTGTCTGAGGTGTGAACGACGTGAACTACAGCCTGTACCCGAGCCGGGAGCTGCAGAGGGACTGGCTGACGGCCTATCTGGAGAGTTACAAGCAGAGCTCAGGACATGAGGTCACTGTGACAGAGGCAGAAGTTACGCAGCTCTACATTCAAGTCTGCAAATTCTCACTGGTGAGTGTTTGTTGAAATGTGTCATTACGAGAGCCTCAGCACTTTGGAAAGACTTTGGAAAGTGACAAATCTCTCAGCACTTATTTCCTTTCTTTAAGTTCTGCTCTCAGAGAGACTCAGTATTATGAGATGTGTGTGTGTGTGTGTGTTTGTGTGTGTGTGTATGTGTATGTGTGTGTGTGCAGAGCTCTGAAACAACATGTGGCAACACCTCCCCATCACAATTTAACAATTTACTTTTCCAGCCTCCCAAAGCAAATCGTCTGGGCCGGGCCGGGCTCGGCAGCTGACCCTCCACTGTTCAGAGTCTGATGGACTCCATCTGAGCTGATTAGAAACTGCCGCAGGGAAAAAATGAAAGACAGCAGCCAAAATTATGTTTCTTATGACCACAATTTTCATTCTTTGGTGGCTCAAATGGAGCTGGGCGATCCGTCTAAAAGTGCTTTCATAGCTCAACACAATATGCACAATTGTCCTGAGCAATTTCAGGGTTTGGTGTGAATGTCTCTTGAAATAGCCCAGAAATGATGAGGAGGCATATTACTTTTTAAAATAACTTGCGCCGCGGCCAAAAAACAGAGAGGGACAAGTGAGAGCGGGGAAAAGAAATAAAGCCTGGAATGGAGCAAGAGGCGATAATATCATGTTGATTGAAATCAGATTTTCTAGGACAAACTGAGGAGGACTCTCGACTCGAGGGAAGTGGGAGAAATTGATCACTGACGCTTAACAAGCCAAGTTTCCAGCTCCGCTCATTTTGACAAGCCGCGTGTCAAATGAAGGAAACTGAGCCTGATAACAGAGAAAAATCACAGCCGCTATTTTTCATCATTTCAAATAACAGAGCTCAAACTTCTGTTTTTAAAAATATCCACAAATATTAGAATTGTATAAACCAAGTGTCTTTATGAACCTTACTTCACGTTTATCCTCACAGTCTGTCATCACCTGGTTTTCCTTCGTCACGGAACAAAATATTCCATATTTCTCTCACATCACAATGACCTGAAAACACGTCCTCACTGTGACCTCGTCACATGTCCACGTTTGGTCATGGACTTTCCACGTCCACATATGACGTCCAAGGTACCCTGGGTGTGTTGGTTGTTGACGTTCTGGGACGCCGTGTCAACTTCAGCCTGTTACATGCATTGTCTGTTTTCAAAATACACTTCTGTTTTCACAGGAAATGTACAGTTTGTATACAGTCTCTTTCAAAATAAAAGCACTACGTCAGTACAACACCACCAACTGATGTTTTTTTTCCTTCAACAACACACACACACACAGTTACATTTATCAATCAATCAATCAATCAATCAATTTTATTTATAAAGCCCAATATCACAAATCACAATTTGCCTCACAGGGCTTTACAGCATACGACATCCCTCTGTCCTTATGACCCTCACAGCTGATCAGGAAAAACTCCCCAAAAAACCCTTTAACGGGGAAAAAAAACGGTAGAAACCTCAGGAAGAGCAACTGAGGAGGGATCCCTCTTCCAGGACGGACAGACGTGCAATAGATGTCGTACAGAACAGATCAGCATAATAAATTAACAGTAATCCATATGACACAATGAGACAGAGAGAGAGAGA